TGCAAGCGTTGAGGAGAACCAACTGTTATCTCGGCCATGATCCCGGACCCCGACACACCGACACACCGACAAACCCGCCGACGTCCTCCTCGACTCTTCCCAATTCCTACCCCTTCCCCATACCTTCCCCCATCCTCCATGCGCTCCCCACACCCTCCATACCCTTATACCCTCCACACACAACCCCATGCCCTCCCCCCACCCTCCTTACCCTCCGCTCCAACGCTTTAACTCAGAATGCCAAATAAACCTCCAGCGAACACTGACGGGAGCGCGGCCGGAGGTGAGATTTAAGGAGGACGGACGCCAACGGGGAATTGGAGCAGGAAACTTATTGGGATATGGAAGAGAGAGGGGAAGGGAAGGGGAAGGGGAGGGGCGAGAAAGAGGGGAAGAGGGGAAAGGAAGAAAGGGAGGGGGCGAGAAAGAGGAACAAAGGGGGAAGGAAGGAAGAGGAGGGCGAGAAACAGAGAGGGGGGAAGGGGGAAGCAAGGAAGAGAAGGGGAGGGAGATGGAAGAAAAGAGAGGGGGAGGTGGAAGGGAGGAATGAGGAAGACTGGGGAAGATAGGGGGGGAGAAAAAGAAGGCGGTGGTTGAAGGTAGGAAATTTTTTGAGAGAAGAGAGAGAAGAGAGAGAAGAAGGGAGAAAGGAGAGGAGAGGGAGAGAGAAGAGAGAGATTATATATACAAAGATATATAAATAGAAAGATGAGTATAGATATGATATATAGAATATATATATAGAGTAAGATGATATATATATAATAGTAGAATATAGTAATAGGAGAAGAATAGAGAAAATATATATAAAATATATACATAGTACGAACACAACAACCACATACACACCAGACACAACGACACAACAAGGCGATAATAATAGTAGATAGGATAAAGTGAATGATATATAGTATATAATAGAGTTATGATATATATATAGAGACTAGAAAGAGAGATATAGGTAGAGATATGAATAGTAGAAAGAGAGAGAAGAGAAAGGAATAGAGTAAATGAGAAGTAGGTAAAAAGATAATGAGAATATTAATATATAGACAGTAGTAGAATGAGAGTAGAGAGAGATAAGATGATATATATGTATAGTGATATATGTAGAGTAAATATATTATATAGATAGATATATATATATATATATGATATGTATATATATATAATATATATATATATATAGATATATGGTATATATAGTACAATATATATGGGATAGTATATATATATTATATATACCGGAGTAATAGAAGATGAGAAAGAGTATATAGAGTAAGATTATGAGGAATACACAACAAGAACACACAAGACGAAGATAAGATGAATAAAAGAAAGAGAGAAAGAAGAGTGAAGAGAGAGGTATATAAGAGATAGGAGAGAGAGTAATAAGTAATATATAGTCAGATGATAGAAGTGAGAGATGAATGAATATATGAGAGTAAAGAGAGATGATAGATAGTGATAAGATATATATGTGGAGAGATAGATAGATATAATATATAGTGAAGAGAGAGAGAAAGAGAGATGAGAGAGAAAAATATATATATATATATATGTATATAACATATATATATATATATATATTATACATATATATATATATATTAATATATATATATATATATATATATACATATATATATATATATATATATATATACATATATATATATATAATATATATATATATATAATATATATAAATATATATATAATATATATATATATATATATATTTAATATATATATATATTATATATATATTTATATATATATATTATACAGAACAACACACACACACATACACAACACACACACACACACAAACACACAACATCACACACACACACACACACACACACATATATATATATATTAATTATATATTATATATATATATTATAATAGTATATATATAGATATGATAAGATATAGAGGAAAGAGAAATATATATTAATTTTATATATATTATATTCATTTTGCGTATTTTTGCGTAGGTTATATATCTTTATGTTTTACGGAAAGCGAGACAGACAAATGCAGATCAGAAAGAGACAGTATGAGACAGATAAAGAAGAAGAAGAGAAGGTAAAGGGGAGGAGTTAAAAATAAGTGTTTTATGTAGATTATTAGACGATTGAATCGAGTATATTTTTTATTGAGGGAACGAGAGATCTACTGAATGTGTACTGAGCGAGAGAGAGAATTTCTAGTCAGAGATATTAGATCAGTGAGAGAAGAGGATGAGTTGAAATTATTCATTTATTAATATTTATTATCATTATGTAATTTATTGAAGATGAGGTATATCGAGTGTGATTATTATCATTAGGCTAGTATTATAATGACTAAGATATATCTATAGTAGTGAGAGATATTTTTAAGAGTAAGTAGCAATTATTTATACTAAGTGACATGTGATGAGAAGGAAACTACGTTAATTATATATTGAAATTAGTGTAGGAGAAAATTCCATCAACCTGTGATCATCCATACATCAGACGACTAATAATAGACCATAGAATATCTTTCGACAGCCAAAATTATAAAACATCAATAATACAACTCGTAGGAACCCAATGTAGACCATCCAAGGTTATCTAGTTCCGAATGCGAAATTCAAAGCTGGTGGTCCTGTTGAAAGGACAAGTGCTTTCGATACGAGAAAGAGTGCTTATTGTGAGATCATCGCACTCCACCAATATTATTTCTAATATTGCGAATTAGTGCGATATTGAGTTTATCTTAGACGATCAAGATCAATGGTGATTATTGTATTGAATCGGTATCGCTCTATTTCTAGTTGGTACGGGTAAGTGGATAGGTCATGAATGAGTAGTGCCGTGGAATGTAGTTCAATGTTAGTGTATCGAGTTAGAGTAGAATAATACCAAAAATATATTATTGTCAGAGGCAAATGTTGAAAGATGGGGAATTAAGGGATGGAGTAGCGAATATAGGATGAATAAATATTTCTTCGAGTAATATGGGAATGTATTGGAATGTGAAAAGATACAGGCAGAAACTCAAAATATCTGATTAATATAAATTGACAGCACAAGAAAAAGTTGTTAGATGTACGGTTGAGTGTGTTAGAAGTAGTCGTGCTGATAAGATAGACATGATAGTTTCTCACTCAAAAGAATGAGGGAAGAAAATGCATATGAATGAAAGAACAGAGTAAAACAAGCATGATCATGTATTAGATACAGCAACCCAATTAATTCATATGTTACCGTCGCGAGGAGGAAAATCTCTGGAGTACCGCGAAGAGAGTCAGATACGGATTCCGAAGAAGAGACACGTGACGGAGTGGAGACTGCAACATAAAGCCGGTGACTATCCACACTACAAAGGCAAAGGCGCAACATATATAACTATAAGAGCGTGATACGAATAGGAGCATGGACGATTGAAATAACTACAGACTATGTTTTTGTGCAAGGATTACGATTCTGGAGGAGTATAAGAATTACATGATGAGGCCGCTCATTCTTAGTTATGCGACTGTGCATCAAGATTAATTCATAGCGGAGGTCATATACTATTAGTATCTTGGCTATTCATTTGAACTTAGATAATGATTCATATAAAGTGTATCATGAATATACATAACACAGCACCGCCAGAATATGATATAAAGGGAATTATCATTCATATTAATTGTTATCGGATACTAAGAAAAAAATTCAATTTAACGAACGACGGAACTACTACATGGCTGATTAAATAAACAAAGTGGGTAGGGAACTCAGACAACATCAACTCCCACTGTACGTGGAGATTGCTAATGGCAAATAAGTGAGTGCGATGAATACAGAAGATTAATTTCACAATACTAACTCATTATTACTCCTCTCTATTTTTCTGTCTGAAACCATTCTGTCTTTACTTGAGCGCACCACACTTTTTAATAACCCCTCATTCTTGACCCGCCATTATTATCTTTCTGGGACAGTTGGTTTGCCACCATCATGCCAGGGCTCGTCGCGGGCGGCGAGTCTGATGTGCATTATCATTGATGTTATTTAATATTTTTAGCGGACCTTAACGGCATCGAGTGTGCATTTTCGCTTATTCCACGATCGCCTTTTCTTACTGAATTCGTATTCGCTTTTGATACTTTGCTCATATCTCTGGTAATCCACTCTTAAAGTCAGGGTGATATTGGGGTTGGCAGTTGATCACGCTGGGAAGGATAAAACATACATAATATGCAATACTAGACACATATAGTGACCATTCTAAACATCTTCTCTCTCTCCAAGCGCACAGCATTGACTGAAATGACTGATCATTGATTTCTTTGAATACTTGATCTTCTCTCAATGACTCATACTCTATTATCACACTATTTATATCATAATGATCTCATTGCTCTCTTCTATCTACTCTCCCTTCCTCCTCTCTTCCTCTCCTCTCTGTCTCTGTCTCTTGTCTCTCTGTCTCCTCATGTCTCTATCTTCTTCACCTCTCTATCTATCTCCACTTCTCTTACTTCTCTCCTCTTCCTACCTTATTTCTCACTTTCCATTCTCCCTCTATTTTACTCGTCCTTCACCACACTACAAATTATGCAATTAGCTGCAATAGGTGTACTATGTCGAGTGCCGTCATCCGAGTGTATACCTGTAGCTCTCTCGATATCCACCGTTTAATTTAAGGCAGGTGTGAAACATAGCTGGATCTTCTACTATGACACGTGTGATTATACGGTGTGTAATCCTTTTCTTCAATTGTTGCCTCGTTCCAGGGGCCTGCCGAGACTTCAGGAGAGAAGTAAACTCGCGCAATGGCTCTCCATGCAGCGAGGCACTCAACCTCCTGGGATGCCACACTCAAGGGCCGAACCGACATTCTCAGAGCCTCGCTCCTTCATACTTTTTTGCTTTCTTTCCTTCGGGGTTAAAGGCAACAGATACTATTTCGGCGGCCTGCTCTGATCATGGCGGGTCTGGGACGAGGGCGAGGAGGGCAGAGCAAGGGATGGGCGTGCGAGGGGGTTACAGGGGCTTAGGAAGGGAAGTTGTGTAACTGGCGAGTGGCGTACCATGAAGCGAGCTTCCTGGAGACGGGCGGGGTGTCGTGGGCGGCGTCCTGGGCCCTGGAGTCACTGAGGCGGCGCTCCCGGTGCGAGTTCCATCGCTTGAGGATGGTGCTCACCCTGAGGGAGGGGTCCGAGCCCAGGCACGACGTGGGGGTGGAAGGGGGGGTCACCAAGGGGCCCACCCCCGCCACCACCCCCGCCGCGGCTGCCGACGCCGTTCCGGGCACCGAGTTGGCCCGCGGCGGCAACACCTCCGGGGCGCCGTCCGTGCGGGCGTGCTCCCTGAAGCTGAGGCGGCGGACGCGGGGCTGCCGGAACGACGCCGTCAGGTCCCCCTCGCTCCGCAGCGGCCGCGGCCTCAGCGCCGTGCATGAGTTGCGGCGCCGCAGGCGGTTTTCGCTACTGTATTTCATCATCTTGCAGGCGCCGAGGTTACAGCAAGGCCTGGGGCCGGCGACAACGAGGCAGAGCAGCGCAGGTCCTCGCGGCGCCCGTCAGTGGGCAAGCATTGTCTCCGGCGCGAGGGCGACAGGCGCGCGGCCCGGCATGGCGAGGCAGCTCCCGGCTCGGCTCCCGCTGCTGCCCGCCGCTCACCTGCACCATGCTACCACGCCCGCCGCGCCCGCACGCGCACGCCCTCCATTCCTACAGAGCGGGCGGCGGCGCCTTCACCACACTGCATCACACTCACGCGGGCGGCGGCGCAGTCATCCACGGTCAATTTTCTAGCACAAAAAGACAAACCACATTCCTCGGCCGATCAGAAATGCTGCGGGAAACGGACATTTTAGGATATAACGGAACACTACACATTTTCGCGCCGTATTGACTCCCTTCGCTCCCCGAGGAAGGCCTGGGCTCCCCGGGGGGAAGGGAACATAATTATTACACGAAGGTCAATATTGGTATTGGCCGTCACGAGAGGAACGGTGGAATCTCTCTCTCTCTCTCTCTCTCTCTCTCTCTCTCTCTCTCTCTCTCTCTCTCTCTCTCTCTCTCTCTCTCTCTCTCTCGATGAATAGCCAATTAAGCTGACAAAAATCTTTAAAAAAAACCCTTCTAATCTTATAAGCACCGCTCTTCCCCTATTCCCTTTCCCTCCCTCCCTCTTATCTCTTCTCTCCTTGTCCCCCTTCCAGAAACAGCCATAAACCGGAGAGAACATACAATCCCCGACTCCATAAAATAAAAAGTCAAAACAAACAAAAAACAAAACTAAAAAACACACAAGATTCCCGACGTGTTTCCCGAAGACGGTGAAACCCAAGCCGCGGTCTCCCAACGCTGGCCAAATATTATCAGAAGGACGCGAAAAAAAGAAAAAAGAAAAAAATTACTAAAGAAAGAAATAAAGAAAAAAACTACCGCTGCGTTTGACACTTACGATAACGCGAACATCACCGACTGACACGCGAGAAAAAGAACAAGAGGAAGGAAAAAAGGTGTCGCATAATAGGCTAAGGCAACGCCATAATCGCCTTTCTCCCATTTATTCTCTTTCGCCGTTATCCCTCTCCTCCCACCACACTGTTATTTTTTTCATCTCTCCTTTCTTCCCCCCCTTAGCTATCAACCTCCCTAAAAATAATTCATGTCTTTCTCTTACACATAACATCTTAGGAAAAAGAAGAGATTTTTGACTTTGCGAAATCGTTGGAGGAAGCGGAGAGGGGACCTCCTTCCCTCTCTCCTTTCCCTTTCTATTTCTTTATCCCTTTCTCTCTCTCTCTCTCTCTCTCTCTCTCTCTCTCTCTCTCTCTCTCTCTCTCTCTCTCTCTCTCTCTCTCTCCTCTCTCTCTCTCTCTCTCTCCTCCCCCTCCCTTGCCCCCTCTTTCACGTCACGCGGAGACAATGAACCCTCACTTCGTCTGCGTTCCCGAAAAAATGGAAGATGACGAGAATATTTCTACCCCGAGACGAAATCGAGCTGAGCTGACGTTTCGGAGGAAGAGAAATTCGATTTATGATTTTTATCTGCGTGTGTGAGACGGAGGGAGCGAGGGAAGGAGGGATGAGGTTAGGAAGGAAGGAAGGGAGGAAAGGAAGGGAGAGAGGAAGACAGGGAAGGAAGGAAAGGAAGGGAGAGAGGAAGACAAGGAAGGAAGGAAGGGAAAGGAGAGAGGAAGACAGGGAAGGAAGGAATGTAAGGAAGGAAGGAAGGAAAGAAGGAAGAGAACACATAGCGAGACAGTCAGAAAAAAATACAGGAACAAGCAAAAAAACTCCCAAGCAACATGTCAAAACCACAAAGACCACTCCCCCTCTCCCCCTCCCCCAAGGACCAGATAATTATCCACGGGAGACTAAATCGCGCTTCTCGCAGAGCCTTTGTTTACGGCGGTAACCACTGGATATCGAATTCCGATATCGGCTCCGACGCGAAAAAAACATAAAAGCTAATCTTCAAGCTTGACTCCGCCGGATACAAAAGCAACATCATCGAAGCTTACATGCAAATTGGCTCGGGGAGACCGCGGGGTTCCTTGGCCGCGGAGGGAAGACGCTAGGCCTTAGGACCTTTGTCTGTCTGTCTGTCGGTCCGTTCCCAAGAGAAGTATAGAGTTACAGTAAGATACAAAAGGAATTCACGGTGACAAGCAAAAACACTCTTCGGCATCTGATGGACCAGAGAGAGAGAGAGAGAGAGAGAGAGAGAGAGAGAGAGAGAGAGAGAGAGAGAGAGAGAGAGAGAGAGAGAGAGAGAGAGAGAGAGAGAGAGAGAGAGAGAGAGAGAGAGAGAGAGAGAGAGAGAGAGAGAGAGGAGAGAGAGAGAGAGAGAGAGAGAGAGAGAGGAGAGAGAGAGAGAGAGAGAGAGAGAGAGAGAGAGAGAGAGAGAAGAGAAGAGAGAGAGCTAGATCTAAAACCGATTGCGAATTTCTTGCACGTCAGAAATAAGAGAAATTCAATTTGGCGGAGGGAAGGGAAGACTCCTGGGAAATATCTTAACCTCTCTAAACGACATTATGGCGAGCATAAATTCCGCAAGTGAAAAGTTTGTAAGGTGAGTGTGGAGGGTGCCTGAGAGTGCCTGCGAGTGCCTGCGAGCTGCCATGGGACGATGGGGTTGGGTCGAGGAGAGGATAGGGGGGGGAGGAGGGACAGCAAGGTGAAAGGGGAGAGTGAGAGAGAGAGAGAGAGAGAGAGAGAGAGAGAGAGAGAGAGAGAGAGAGAGAGAGAGAGAGAGAGAGAGAGAGAGAGAGAGAGAGAGAGAGAGAGAGAGAGAGAGAAACGCCTGGAATGTTCTGGCTTGTGTCATTGAGTGTCCCGAGGCAATTGATGTACGCAAGACGGAGTTCGTAGTGTTTGGGCGCTGCGATTATGCTGTGTTGGTTAGCATAGCGGGCTTTATTTGCGCAGAAGTGGTTTGTTGACTTGCTGCAAAGTAGTTTGTTTGAGTGATTGGTGTGAAAGAGGATATTGTGGGAACAGGGAGGGGGGCGTAGAAGGATAGGGGGAAGGAAAGAGAGATAGAGAGAAGGGGAGAAAGAGAGGTATAGAGAAAGAGTGGCAGAAAGGGAGAGAAATATACAGGTGAAAGGATTATTCATGTGACGACAGCTTTGCCACGAATAAAAACATCTATTTTCGTTCGCCCACACTACTGTAAAAATGTAAGACAAGTTGACCATAAAAATTCATACATTTACGTAGCACGACAGAGCAAAAAAAATATATAGATTTAGCAATATAGACAAGAAATGTATAATCATAAAGAAAAATACATTTACTTAGCACTACAGACGAAAAATATAATCATAATAAAAAACATGGTACTGATGGTCGCAATAAACATAATGAACTGATATGCAACATCAACCTCGCCCCGCCCAAACCTTTTCCCGATCGCCTTCCCTTCTCTTTCGTCCTTCCAATAACTCTCAATCAACCGTATTATTAAGCCACGCCCACTTCCCCTTTCCCCCTTTGCCTACTACCCCCTCCCCCTTTACTTCGAGCCCCCCACCCCTCCCCTAACTTCGCCTTGCTCCCCTCTCCCGACCCACCCACCATGGGGGAGTGTCTCCTATCCCTCCACCTCCACCTCCGCCTTCCCCCTCCCCCCCTCCCCCCCCAACCAGCCCCACCGACATTACTTGTCGGAGTCCGCCGAAGGGACACAATGGTCGGGGCGAAGGCAATATATTGACGGAACCTTCCTCGCTACGGGGAGATAGCATCGCCCTTTCTCGTCCCCGCGCCCGCCCGTGTTCGGGAGGTCTTCCTTTCCCCCCTTCCCTCTCACCCCGCTCTGCACGTGAGCACGCACGCACACGCATACATACACACAGGCACAGACGTACAACCACACACACATAAACACGTGTCTCTCGTCACGAGACCTATGAACATCACCACGTATACGATAGAAAGCTTGTTTTTTTTCCCTCTTGTCTTCTGTCATTTCTCTCTCTCTCTCTCTCTCTCTCTCTCTCTCTCTCTCTCTCTCTCTCTCTCTCTCTCTCTCTCTCTCTCTCTCTCTCTCTCTCTCTCCCTCCCTCACATTCGACTCTTTCACTAACCTACTGTCATAATTCCTCCCTTTCACCAAAAAAACATCCATCTTCAACCCAACTTAAACAATCTTCTTCAAAGTCCTAGCAGTTTCAGAACAAAGCCTCCCACCACACCCCCCCCCCAAGAAAAAAAAACAAACAACAACAAAAACCTGAAATCTATCTCGATCCAACTTCACTTCTAACTTTCCAATAAAGACAATCAGCAGTGACACAACGCCGACATCTCCCTAATGAAAGGATCAAGAGCATCAGGGCTTCAGGGACGGGCGAGGGACGGCCCTAACGCGCGATAAGGGGAAGGAGGGAGGGAGGAGGCGGGGAGGGGGGGGGGCAGGAAGGAGGGAGGGGTGTCCAGCTCTGGCCTGGTCTATGGCGCTACAAATCTTCGCGACCACAATGGGCTGGGGGCGGGGTCCAACTGTGGAGGAGGAGGAAGGGGGGTTAGGAGGAGGAGGCGAAGGGGGTAAAGAGGAGGTGGAGAGGAGGAAGGAGAGAAAGAAAGGGGAGAAGGAGGAGGAGAAGAAAGGGGGAGATGGAGGAGGAAGGGGGAGGAGGAGGAGGAAGGGGGGAAAGGAGGAGGGGGAGGAAGGAGGAAGGGGGAAGGGGAAGGAGGGGGAGGAGGAGGAGGAGGAGGAGGAAGGGGAGGAGAAGGAGGAGGAGGAACAAAGGGGAGGAAGGGTGAAGAGAAAAGCATGAGGAGGGAGTAGTAGAAAGGGAAAGAGGAGGTAGGAAGGGAGGGGGAAAGAATGAGTAAAAGTAGGTAGTAACGGAGAAGGAAGAGGGAAGGAGGAGGAGCAAGGGAGAAGGGAAGAGGGAGGATGTGAGGAGGAAAGAGAAAGGAAGAATAAGGAGAGACAGAAGGATAGATGAGGGAATTAGTATGAGTGGAAAGCGGGGAAGGGAGGTAAGGAAAGGTAAGAGAAAGGAGGAATAGGAAAAGGAAGGAGGAATAGGAAAAGGGATGAGAAAGGAAGGAAGGAAGAAAGCAAGGGATGCAAAAAAGTGAAGTAGAGAAGAAGGCAAGAGGGTGGGGTTAAGGGAAAATGGAAGGAGCGTAAGGATGGCAGGATGAAGGGGAAAGGGAAACAGGGAGAGGGAGAAAGAGGAAAGGAGGGAGCCCTAAGTCATTGTAGAAGAGATCAGCAGAGCCTAATGCTTGAAGTCAACATCCAATCAGACACTTTTGTGCGCGTGGGTGTGCTTCCTCCTCGTTCCTGAATGGTTAAGACCTGTCAGTTCTTTAAGGCACTCTTCATACATTCGAAATCAGCTGTTGGTGGGCAGAAGGCGAGACTATCCTTTTACAAAATCCTATTGTTCAGCTGTAAGGTCGTGTTAGTGTTTGTCGGTCTGTTTGTAGACGTGTCTGTATAATTTCATTACTAGGAACCAGCAACACACATTAAACAAACAAACAAAAAAAAAGCAGACAGACAGACAGACAGACGCACGCGCATGCACGCGCGCGCGCACACACACACACACACACACACACACACACACACACACACACACACACACACACACACACACAGAGCCTTTGAACGAAATGTTACAAGGGCACACTTGCTCTTCGAAATGCTACAGTTCATGCAAGCAAAGCCATTGCCCTGAGTAATTCAGTAACCCAGTGTCGCCCAGAAATAATGAAAAAGACAAAACGGACGTATATCCATCTTTTTCTTTAATATATATTTTTACTAAGCCTACTGGGATGTCTGCATTATAGGGCTCGGAACAGAACATTAGCGTCAGGAGGCCTACAGAATGTTATGCAAAGGAAAAACCACTTCCACTCCCCAAGGTAATCGGATGTCTACCTGGACGACCATTAGGCCTACGCCAGGTAGAACACATTACATGTACATTACACTAGTTCGAACTCTTTCAAGGTTTATTCTCTTGCACTTATCGAAGCACACCAATATTACTTTCTTTTATTTTTTTCACGATTATACAATCTTTCTTTTTTCCATCTTCTAAGAAATCCCAATATGGGATCTTCTACCGAGGCGATATTACAAAACACACTGTAACTCAGGTGAAAATGCCACGCCTACTTTCCGCGCTGTGCATTATTCCTGCTGAGTAGTCCGCACACACATACACACACGGAACGGCGTGCTTGCTACTTTCTTCACACGCCCTTTCAAGCACCCACACTTCGCTGCATCGCGTGCATGCCAGGGAAGTGTAGGCACACGGGGCTTTGCAGAGGCCCTGATCACACCGCGTTCCCTTGCAAGACGGCCGCAGTTCGCACACACCTGTTGCAGTGTTGTTCACGGCTTCCCCTTTACTCCGGCATCCACGACGCCCTAATGTGCACCGCGACCTTCCCAGCCACTAATCTATGTAGGTCCGTGTGTGTGTCAATCGCATCGACTCGCACACTCGCACACATCGCCCGCACACAACACTTCTGGCGAAGGAGGTCCTCGCCGCGACATATGGACGCTTAGGGAGCGCGCCCGTGGGGCCTTGGTATCTCCTACGGGCGCCCAAGCACCAGCATCTCATCATCACCTGCACCACGAACGGACGCGTCGGCCACCACGTCAACGACCGACAGCGGACGACACGCGAGCGCCCGACGCCGCCACGGACGTGCTCGAGGGCAAGTTGGACGCGAGCGGCGAGGGAGGCGGAGAGAACCGTTGAGGCGGCACTGTTTGGCACTGAGCGGAGACTGAGCCGCGCGGGAAGACAGGCAGCCCGAGCTCCAGCCCACCACTCGCACCCGCGCACACCACCACCTTACTACACTCACACGCACACGTACACACACACGTACACGCAGACACAAACACACTCTTTCATGTATACATCGAACCCCACACAATGAGGGTCAGTGTAGCGT